CTCATGTGTAAAAATTCGTCTAAAATGTTACCAACGCGTTCCCGAGAAATGTTTAGAGCATTTTTAATCTCTCGCAGCTTGATTCGGCGATCATTCAATATCATTCCATGGACTTTAACTACAATTCCTGGTGTTGTCACCTCTCTGGGACAAGCCGGGCGATCTTCGGCAAAAATGCTTGTCCGCCCGCGTTTAAATTCAGCAGTCCAATATTTTATTGTTGAAACGATGGAGCTGAATCCTTATTAACTCCTTTAAATCCTTTGTCTATCTCCTTTTTAATATCGTTGGATATTTCTTTTAAAAACAGAAATCTTATGACAGCACGATATTCGATTTTATTCATATTGACGACAATGAAAATGTGAATGCGCTAAAAGTCCCGCCAAAATTACCAGTGTTGATAAAACCGCATGAAACTTTCACACTAATTAACTGATAAAAAACACTAATCGAATAAAATATTTATGAATTAAGTTTCTTTGTTTGTTTTCTATGTTAGGCCGACTTTTTATCAGCCCACCCTCGTAGTATTTCCCATCTAAAAATATTTTTAGGATAATTTTTCGCTCCTCAGCCGATATTTCCTTGTCTTTCCGCTCCATGTCGCTATACTTCGAATTGTGATGCAAACTTTAAACTTCAACTGCGCAGTACTAATGCAAAGAGAATTTAAAGAATATCGACTAAAACTAATTAACGGTAATCGCGCCATCTGGCATTCTACGCAGTTTCAAATAGCTGTACGCAGACTTTTGAGTTTACATTTTTTCCTAGTGCTAAGTTTAAAATTACGAATAAAATAAAAGACAGGTAAAAAAAAAGTCATTGAAGACAATACTAAATTAAAGTTTCGTTTAAGAAATAATTAAAGTTTTGTTCGAAATGGTCGAATATATGACTAAATGGCCAATCTATGTTTAATCTATGTTGTGTTTAAAGTTTCCCGGCAAAAAATCGCTTAAGTCAAAACTCTTTTATGACAGCTATAACCTATAGTATCCAGATTTTTAATGAAGTTTCCCAAGTTATATTCGAAAATTTCCAAAGTATTGTTCCATCAAAATGAAAAACAAAAAATGAAGTAAATGAAATAAAATTTTCATATACAAACTGAATATCAGACCGATTGTTCATATGGCAGTTATATGATATAGTTGTCCGATCTGGCTGATTTTAACATATTATCTATATATATATAAAAGAAAGTCGTGTTATGTTACACCACTTATAACTCAAGAACGGCAGAAGAGATTTGAGTGAAAATTGGTAGGGAGGTAGCTTAGAGCCAAGAGACGGACATAGGATACTTTTTATCCCGTTCGACAGCGTTCCTCCCGTGCCCATACTTTTTTATTTAGGCAGACAGCTAAGAAGAAAATGTCAAATGAAAATGTCAAATGTCAAAATGTCAGTTAGAAACGAAGTCAAATTCAAAGTCAGGCTCTCAAATTTAACAACGAACCAAAAGGATTGTGTTGCGCTTCCGGGAAAGTGAAATTGCCTCAACTTGAAGCACCACCAGAGCCTCTGCACTCTCTATTGATATTTGTAAGAAATCAATATTAAAACTATTTCTATTAAATAAATAATTAACAAGTGGATTGAAGTGAAGTGAAGTTTAATTAATAATGCCGCGACCAAGACGATCGAATCTTTCCCGACAAAGCCGTAATGCAAGAAGAATACAAAATACTGCATATGAAAGGACTGAAGAAGAGATACAGCGCCGCAATAGTATGGCTCGACTTCGTGCTTCTCAAATAAATTTTAATTTGCGACGCAGAACAAGATATTTAGCTGATTTGAATCGAGCTGCGTTTCGATACGATTGCAGCAATGATTACAGCTTGCATCCTAGCGTTTGCATTGGGCAAATGGACGTTGTTTGCGAGTATTGTTGTGCATTAAAGTTTTCCGGAGAAACGCCTGGATTATGCTGCGTTAATGGTAAAGTGAAATTGCCAGTGTTGACTCCGCCACATGGAGTCAACAACAATTCCATTCGTTGTCAATTCCCGTTCGACAACGGGAATTATACTCCTCCGAAATTGCTGCTTTTATAGTAATGAATAACAATAAGTAGGCTGTGACCATAACGTATTGTACATTTATGTGTGTGTCATATGCCCCTGAAATAGGGGTCCGCCGATTACTTATCTACAGTCACCAATGCCAAGAAAACGCAATTGGGCCAATTTTAGTCATCAAACAGTCAATTCTAGAGCTGCGCGAGATAGAAGAATACGAGATCAGGAGAACAAATTTATAAAGGTAATGAAAAGACGCGTGTAGGCATGGCGCAGTTACGTGAATCACAATCGAAAGATGCACGAGATGAACATAATCAACAAAGACCACTTTTCAAAGAAGAGAAGCGCACAGATTAATAGTTAGAAGAAGAATTAACTAACAATGGCAACAAGTTTGTCGAGGATTCACATCTGGGCAATTTCTTCGACTAGCATTCCAGTAAGAGCCTGTTGAAATTCTGCTTATTCCAAAGTGATTATTGTGAACATTCAAAGTGAAAGTTCCAATGTGAACATTCCTTATTTCGCTTCTTCCTGCCGAGTTACGATTAAAAAAAAATGGCAACGCATTGGCCATTGCATCTTCTGGCGTTGCAGCAACCTTATAAGATGGAGGCATAACAGCTCATTCAGGACTTAAGCATTGAGCATTCAAAATAATCCAGATGCAGTGTGCAACATAAAAAAACAATCGTCTATGGGCATAGTGCCCATATTTTGGATGAATGCACTATAGGACGTAAAAATTCGCTTGGGGAATTGGATTGGTCATTTAGGGATATAAGGAACAATGATAAACTATTTTACGGCCCTTTGTTACTCCTTTCATGTGTTCACGGTTAATGTACGCTGATGAATTCAATGCTTGCTTAAAATCATCGCAACTGTGGCGTAATGCTGAAAAAGAACTGACCAAGAATATGCGCGATCAAATGCTTCAGGATCCATCCTTTCTCTAAACAACTCTTAGATATTGGCGAGGGGAATTTTGCTGTACGTGAAAATACTGGATGTACTTGAAATACTGAAAAACATTTATTAACCAAATAAATAAAGAAAAAACAGCTAGCCCTTATAGAAAACAAAAAAGGGCAAAACGTTTGACGGGGTCGTTAGTTAGTTATACTTACTTGCACAATTTTATTTGTTTCTTTTCATTTCAGCGTTTTGGTTTTAAATTATTTTAAGAGATTTAAGTAAGATTCAACTTATTTCTTATGGTCTTCTAAAGAGTCTGAATAAATTCCTGGGGAATTCCTTGGCCTGCATATTGGGAAGTCCTCTGTGAAGTCTTCAATACTAGCAAGGAAGGGTTTAAACCTGTGCCCTAGCTTTAAATAAATGTTTGAACGACATACTTTTCTTGTGTTTGAATAATCAGTTAAATATTATATTTCAACTTTAAATTTAAAAGTATCATTAAGTATCCAATGTCTTTTTAATTATCATTTTAATTATCATTTAAAATAAACGTGCGCCTAACCTTATTCGCAGTATGCACGTAGTTTTTTGTATGTTCATACATACAGACTTCTGTAGTTTTTCAGTTTCAAAAATTTTCGAACTTGATTCTGACAGATGTGATTAAATTTTACTCGTCTTGATGTAGAATACATGTTTATGTACAAACATATACATGTATGTAAAATATATATCGATATATGTATCTTAATTTGAAGTTAATTTTAGATAAACAACATTTTATGTTCGCTAATCTTCTATACATATGCACATACATAAAAAAATCTTCGAAGTTTGATTTTATACTTTCTCGTCAATATATCAATCTTTATTTTTGTCCATATGCATGTATGTATGTACATATATTTTAGAGGGTTGGAGACAAAACTGACTACACACATGTAGGTATCATTAAAAAATAAATACAAAGTATGTACATATGTATGTATTTATGTACAAATGTATGTAAATAAAAGCACACGTACGAAGGCTGCACGTACGTTCATTTATGAATTTTTTTTTGCCATTTTTTGCAGAAAAGTGTGCCGTACCTGAAAGGTTTTAATAACATACATACAGTACAACAGTCAAAAAACAGTTTACACACTGACAATAAATTTTATTTTTGTACTTAACATGCAAAATTAAACACCTTCTATTCAACTTTTTAAATTTTTTTTAATTCATAACGATTATGTTGAGTTTTCTTAATTACTAAATACAAAAACAAAAACATAACAATTCAAAATAACATAATAAAGTAATAAAATAAGAGATTATACATTACATACATACATACAAAAATGTTTTTATATTTTTCTCTAAGGTAAAATTTCAAATAGGGCCAGTTACGTTTGTTTTTGGCAAGATAAAACAAAGGATGTGGTAATTAAATGTATTAAAATAAATGTACTAAAAAACTAAAAAATTAAAAATTAAACTACAAAATTTAAGTCTCAAACTCCTCTAGATATGAAGTAATAAATTTACGGTCCGTGGCCTTATCATTCTGTTTTTATCTATACATATGTACATACATACATAGATGATGCTTGTCGGTTGCGTGTGAACATGTATAGGTACCTAAATGTGTACACATATGTATATACACATACACAAACACATACATAGGTATTTAGCTTGAAGCTCGTGGTACCCGATTGAAAAGGTCTTGATCTGTTTAGCTAATACTCGTTCGATGACGTCTCATTAAAAATATAATTGTTTTACAGTTTTGAATGATTAAATGCTTCGGCAAATCTTGTTTATGGTTTAATACATTTCTTGGATTGGTGTCAAGGATAAGCTATTATAAGGGTTTTGTATTCATTTAAAACTAATGAAGGTTAAACCTAACCAAGCTACCTAAAGAAATTACATATGTATATTTAAACTTAAAAGTAATGATTAATTGCACAGAATCAAAAGGTATGCATTTCACACAAATAAATGGATCAATTTGTTTTTTCTACACAAAATTCTATTTATTATTAATTGTCTTTGCAGATACTAAACCATGTATTGGAATTTTAAATCCAGATCAGGAAGATCAAATGACTATAACAGGATATCGGCATTCTTATATACGATTCATAATATGCTGGACTTGTGTTTGTCTTACTGGTGGTATCTTACGTCTGGTTCTGCATTGGTGGCGTCATTGGCATTTATTTGCCACTAGCTGCCAATGCCCTTTAGATGAGGCTGAAAAGGTTTTGATAACGGAAGACTATGAAGGGAAGCACAAGCAGTATTACGTAAAAAATATTCGTGCTTTGAATGTGAATAATCCCAGGTTCTTATGACTTCAATATTTGAAAGTAAAAATAATCCCTCTGTTCTTTTAAATTACAGATCATTGTGTCTTATGGAAACTGATTTAAAAAACATAAAACAAGGAATTAATGAAAATGAGTTACAACTGTCAGTTCATTTTAATTCTGGACAATTCATAAGTACGTATGCACATATGTTTTTATTTAATGAACTATAAGTTTGTAATTGAGGTTATTTTTTAATACAAAGTACATATATACATACATACATAATACATATGTATATTATAATATATAATACATATATATATATACATATACAGTATGTCAAGAAACGGTTTACACATTGAAAAAAAATCACAATTTTTGACTTTGCATGAAAAAAAAGCCTTTGTTTGTGTTTTTTTTTTTTAACATATTTTTAATGTAGAACTATTATTCACTAAATTTAACATAAGTATGTACCAAAATTAAAACGATATAAATAAACAGAAAATTATAATTCAACAAAATATGAGTACACATCTTTGACACTGTCAAGAAACACTTTACACACTTTAGTTTTTGATTCTGTTTTGTTCTATTCGAAGAAAAAACGGTACTTTTCCGTTTGCTATGCTTCATTTGACTTCAAAATTTATAATGTACATATGTATATTTATAAGGGTATAAGCAGAGGCAGAGTGTAGTATAATTTTGGTCAATTTGCAACGCAATGAAGTAGACATCTCCGACCCTATAAAGTACATACATACATATATTCTTGATTAGGATCATCTGAGTTGATATAAGCATGTCCGTCTGCCTGTTTCTACGCGAACTAGTCTCTCAGTTTTAAAGCTATCGTCTTGAAACTTTGCACACACCCTTCTTTCCTTTGCACGCAGTATATAAGTCGGAACGACCGGGATCGGCCGACTATATCCTATAGCTGCCATATAACTGATTGATCGGAAATGGTATAACTTTGGTGTTTTTAGAGTTAGAGAGTTCAAATTTGACATGAGTGCTATTTTTGGCAAAACATTACGACATGCCAAATTTCATAAGGATCGGCCGACTATATCCTATAGCTGCCATATAACTGAACGATCGGAAATGACCCAAATTTCATGTTTTTGAAGATAGAAAGCTGAAATTTAATACAGATTCTATTTTTGGTCAGTTGATCCAACCTACCAAATTTCATACCAACATACCAACCTACCAAATTTGGTGTTTTTAGAGTTAGAGAGTTCAAAACATTACGACATGCCAAATTTCATAAGGATCGGCCGACTATATCTTATAGCTGCCATATAACTGAACGATCGGAAATGACCCAACTTTCGTGTTTTTGAAGATAGAAAGCTGGAACTTGGTACAGATTCTATTCTATATTCCGGTTTTAACTGCAAGGGTATATCAACTTCGGCTCCGCCCGAAGTTAGCTTTCCTTTCTTGTTTTATTATGATGTTATCATAAGGATTGGCCAACTATGTATATCCGATGTTTGCGATATATATCCGGTTATAACGGCAAGGGTATATCAACTTCGGCTCCGCCTGAAGTTAGCTTTGCTTTCTTGTTATTATACACACTGGACAGTCTGTCCGTCTGTCTGTCCGTCTGTCTGTCCGTCTGTCTGTAAATAGACAGAAATAAAATTTTTTGTCACGAAATAGCTTTCGTGTAAAATTTAGCTTTCCGTCTGTCTGTTTCTACGCGAACTAGTCTCTCAGTTTTAAAGCTATCGTCTTGAAACTTTGCACACAACCTTCTTTCCTTTGCACGCAGTATATAAGTCGGAACGGCCGGGATCGGGCGACTATATCCTATAGCTGCCATATAACTGATTGATCGGAAATGGTATAACTTTGACGTTTTTAAAGTTAGAGAGTTCAAATTTGACATGAGAGCATTTTTTGGCAAAACATTACAACATGCCAAATTTCATAAGGATCGGCTGACTATATCCTATAGCTGCCATATAACTGAACGATCGGAAATGACCCAACTTTCGTGTTTTTAAAGATAGAAAGCTGGAACTTGGTACAGATTCTATTTTTTGTTAGTTAATCCAACCTACCAAATTTCATTAGGATCGGCCGACTATATCCTATAGCTGCAATATAACTGAACGATCGGAAATGACCCAACTTTTGTGTTTTGGAAGATAGAAGTTTGGAAAATTTTTAGGTTTTGTATTATAATAAATTGGGTTATATTATCATATTCTCATAAGGATCGGCCAACTATATCCGATGTTTGCGATATGTATCCGGTTTTAACTGCAAGGGTATATAAACTTCGGCTCCGCCCGAAGTTAGCTTTCCTTTCTTGTTTACTCATGCCTTTACCACATTTGCCAAATCCGTTTTACTCAATGTCTCACTCAGTCAGTCAGAACTTTGAGTGAGAGTGCCATTTTACAAAAAAAAAAAACCATTTTACAAAATTTTTTTTTTTTGTTGTGTTTTGCAATCAAAGAAAAGCCCCTCTTTTTGGCTGCGCATGTGATTTCCGCTCACTGGAACATGTGAAACCAAAAATTCCAACGGGATTAGAAAGAGTACATGTTTGGCTCTCGTATGAACTAGGATTATTAACTTTGCTCAAAAATGAACAAAATGGCGGACCTTTGAAAATTATTTTTTTTAAATTGAGTTTTTTTTAGCCACAAATCAAGCTGAAAAGTAAAGAAAATATTCACCGATTTGATTTATCCTAGTTCATACCAGAGCTATGTATGTATAGAATAACGTGTTAAAATTTGGAACCGATTAGATTATTAGTTTTTGAGTAACCTCATGCGCCAGTCGTAAAAACACTGTTTCGAGAAAAACGGGTTTAAAGTTTTGAGACTGCTCTCGCCGTCGCCTGAGGCTACCACCATAAATCGGGTATATCTTCAAGAGTTTTTGAGAAATGGAAATTTTCAGGGAACATTCTTGAATTATAAATTGTTCGAATAAAATAAAAAAAAATCAATTTTTTGAAACCGAGGGGGGTCCCCTTAAAAACAATCGGCGTTTTAAGTGATGTCAACTGAAATATATCCTGTCCCTTTCTTGGTATATTGTTTTTTATGATTCGTAAAAATATGTATGTATATATTTAAATAAATTTAAAATGTATGCTGAAATATTAAAAATTTAATATAGTGACACGCATACATACAAAGATCAATCCAAGCACAGACCAACCTTCTTCATCGCGCTTCTGTCAGAGACTGAGAAACGGAAAGCATTCAATGAGAATATGTGCGTAAGATTAACGAACGATGAGCGTAAGAAAGAGAGTAAGAGCTCGCTCTGTGGCCTGCTAAGGCCTGTCGCAAGAAATTTTTGAGTCCATTTTCGTTGTATGAAATGGGTTGTCTATATGCTGCATAATTAGTGATACGGCAAAGCAAACTCCCATACCAATGCATTGGTGGGGTTTTTTTTTTGCAATTCATGTCGTTGCACTGAAAAAAAATTATCGTAAAATTCACAAGAGGTTTAAAAATATATGATTATAATTTATAATTTTATAATAAATTCATCGCTTGAATATAACTAGATTAAGGAAAATAAGGAAAACACAAAGAAAAATTTATTCATTAATTTCCCTTAGCCTGTGCTGGGAGTCCATATGATATATGTATATGATATATGTACATATATGACTTTGCCGTTTCCATATAAAAGAGCAATCCAACAACAAAGGAGGAACGGGAGCATTGGGAGTAAGCACCCCTGGTTTAAACTTTAAAGCAGTGGTCGGCCCTCTATACATTGATATAATTTTAAAGCATTGGAATTAGTGACGAATATCAGAAAGTATTCTGAGAATACGACGTTTCATACGTTTATACTGTGTGTTTGCGGCAGTGCTTGGGCACTGCTATAACGATTAGTTAAGGTGTGGGTGAAAGAGATAAGTACCGTCCTTTTTTGTTTTTTCTTGTAAGCAGAATATAAATCTACCAACAATAATCGATTGACTATATCTTATAGCTACTAATTTTTACACAATTGAAAAAATGTATTTATAATGTATTGTACGTTTTAATTTTAGAGTGTTCATCTATACGAATTTTCCGGTGCAAACAGTTGGTATATGCGTGGGACACATCTCTTAGTTCCTTCAAAAAAATAAATGGCTTGGATGTAAATATTCCATGTTCATATTATCACCAACAACGAGGATTAAATTCAAATGATCAAATATCAAGACGCATTGTTTATGGAGACAATCAAATAACTATTCCATTACGGGACTTTAAAACTTTGCTCTTTCTAGAAATTTTGAACCCGTTTTATGTTTTTCAAATATTCTCAGTTATCCTGTGGTTCGCATACGATTATTATTACTATGCTTGTGTTATACTTATAATGTCATTGTTTGGAATTATAGTCTCAATTTTGCAAACAAAAAAGGTAAGATATGCATACATACACTGAACAAAAGTAAAAAAAAAATTTTTTTATGCGAACTAGAATCAAGACGTTCTGCATAGAACTGTTTCCAATACAGGAACAGCTTGGATTATTAACCATAAAGGTGTATCAAGTGAATTCCCAACAAAAGTATTAGTGCCTGGCGATATTATTGAAATACCATCATCAGGATGTACTATGCAATGTGATGCAGTATTATTATCAGGTAGCTGTATAATAGATGAATCAATGCTTACAGGAGAAAGCGTCCCGATTACTAAAACGGCACTACCATCGAAACGTGATTTAATTTTTGACAAGAAAGAGCATGCTAGACACACACTCTTTTGCGGAACAAAAGTTATTCAGACTCGCTATATTGGATCGAAGAAAGTATTAGCATTTGTTATAAACACAGGAAATATTACAGCAAAGGGCGAACTTATACGGTCTATTATTTATCCCCCACCTGTGGATTACAAGTTTGAGCAAGATTCGTATAAATTTATACAATTTCTTGCAATAATAGCTTGTTTTGGGTTTATATATACGTTAGTATCAAAGGTAAATTTGGAAAATATTGCTAAAGTAAAATTATAAGACATTATTATATTGTATATATATTAGGTTCTACGTGGAATCGATCCTGTTAAAATAGTTGTCGAGTCTTTAGATCTTATCACAATTGTGGTGCCACCGGCACTTCCGGCAGCAATGACTGTTGGTCGCTTCTACGCACAAAAACGGTTAAAGGCTAGTAACATATTTTGCATTTCTCCAAGATCAATAAATGTAGCTGGGAGTATAAACTGTTGCTGCTTTGATAAGGTTCGAATCTAATTCTTAAAAAACAACTATAAATTTATTAACTATTCTTATATTTTAGACAGGAACACTTACCGAAGATGGGCTTGATATGTGGGGTGTTGTTCCAAAATCTTCTACAAACCAATTCCAAATACCATTAAGAGATGTTCTACGTCTGCCATATGACCATTTTCTTTTTGGTATGGTAACATGTCATTCAATAACCGTTCTTAATGGCATAATGATGGGTGATCCGCTGGACCTTAAAATATTTCAGTCTACAGGATGGACTCTAGAAGATTCAAAAAACATTCCAGAAAAAGAAAAATATGGACTAATTTTTCCAATAATATTGCGGCAACCAAAGAATTGTACAGATGATTTTCCTAAATCAAACGTTTGTACTGGACTTGAATTTTCACGACAATCTTCCGTAGAAGATTTACTTGCAACAGTTGGTTTCACACAAGCTCAGAAGAATTTTGATCATGGGATTGTTCGAGAATTTCCCTTTACTTCGAATTTACAACGAATGTCTGTTATCACTCGATGTTTAAGTGCTCATGTGTTTAACGTGTACACCAAAGGTTCTCCCGAGATGATAAAACAGTTGTGCACACCTCAAAGCTTACCAGATGGTTATTCGCAACAGTTGTCTATATTTGCGAAGAAGGGATATCGAATTATTGCAATCGCGTTCAAGGCTCTTGACCCTAAAGTTAATTATACCAAAATTCAGCGGCTTTCCCGTGAAGACGTGGAAAGCGATCTTGAATTTCTTGGTTTTGTAATACTTGAGAATCGCCTAAAGCCAGACACAACTAATGTAATCAATACATTAAATACGGCGAAAATTCGAACAATAATGATCACTGGTGACAACATTTTAACAGCTATTAGTGTTGCTCGTGATTGCGGCATAGTAAACTCATCTCAACCCGTGATTACTGTGCATGCAGACACGGTTAACAAAACTCAACACACTTGTGATGATAATGACCAAGATAATATTAAAATGAGTGCCGAAGCGAATAGACAATATAAGTTACAATACACATTAGATTCGGGAAGTAACATTTGTGCTTCATATCAATTGTCTAATAATGACAATGGGAATTGTTTTGCGCCCTTTACTACAGTAAGTAACAGTAGCGCTGAAAGTGAGGCGAAACTTCATCGTATAACGTCGGATAGTTCCATAGAAAATGATTCGAATATAAGTTATAATGAAAGCGTCGTACACATAAGTAATAGTTTGGCAAGTGTAGAAACAACAGATACATGGACTCATAATGATACAACAGATGTTCACGTAGAACTTGAAGCCAACAATATGCCAGAAGATAAATGGCGGCAGCAATATACATTTGCAATGGATGGGAAAACCTGGCAAATTGTAAAGGATCATTTTCCCGAGCAACTGGGTATTATATTAACACGCGGATCTATTTATGCACGAATGTCCCCTGAGCAGAAACAAGCTTTAGTTATCGAACTTCAAAATTTAGACTACTGCGTAGCTATGTGCGGTGACGGGGCCAATGATTGCGGCGCTTTAAAGGCTGCGCATGCTGGTATTTCTCTAAGCGAAACTGAATCTTCTATTGCATCACCATTCACTTCACATAATTCTACGATTTCGTCGGTTATACATGTTATTAAAGAAGGCCGAGCTGCATTGGTTACCTCTTTTGGTATTTTCAAATACATGGCCGCATATTCGCTTGTACAGTTCATATCCGTTATGATATTGTATTCAATTGACTCTAACTTGACAGATAAACAGTATCTCTATGTTGACCTTGGCCTTATTTCAATATTTGCCTTCTTCTTTGGAAAAACGGAATCTTTTGATGGAAATTTAGTAAAGCAAGTGCCACTTAGCTCTTTAATTTCTTCGACACCACTGGCATCACTTTTACTTCACCTGGCTGCTGTGACAATTTTTCAGGTGACCGGTAAGTAATTAATGTTGCTTTTGATTTAAAAAAATACAATACATTTTTTTTTAAATTTAGGTTGGTTTCATTTACGTCAACAACCATGGTTTACACCGTTCCAACAAACTGATGATGAGCATTTGGGTTGTTATGAAAACTATACTATTTTTTGCATATCTAGTTTTCAGTATATAATTTTAGCATTTGTTTTTTCCAAAGGTGCACCTTACAGAAAGCCCTTATGGTCAAATTTGCCACTGTGCTTGGCATTTATTACTAATCTTGTTATCATACTTTATTTGGCAATTTATCCCAGCGAATGGGTTTCAAACTTTTTCCAGCTCATAGTACCTCCAGCAATGAAATTTCGATATATTATAATTATATACGGTATTGCTGCATTTGCATGCCATATTTTTGTCGAGTCCTATCTGGTAGAATATTTGATATTCAAAAAGTATCAAGTCAAGCGCGAACAAAGTTGGACAACATCAAAACAAAAATATATGCGTTTGGAGCATGATATAACCCAAATTGCCAATTGGCCGCCAATAACTGAAACATATGAACCGATCCAATCGGCAGCATGGGAAGAAGGTCAGCCTAGATATGTAAGTTTGATGGCGGAACAAAACCACGATCTGCAGAAAGCTTTATTTCCAGGTTTTTTTGAATCGTCGCTCAGTTAATTTAAAGTTAATTTTAATAAAAAATTTTGTTATCCGCATATATTGCGACTAAATTACATGTATAATATAAAGTATATTGTTTAAAAAAGAGCATTCAACATTTTCAATGCACATAAATTATTCATTCTAGCCATAAAATAAAATTATTTGTACTTAAGTCATGGTGATATGATGTACAAAATTTTGTTTTTTTTTATTATAAATAAATTTATCAACATAAAAAAATTGTTAGCTTGTGTTAAAAAATACAGGGAAATAGGTTGTGATGGAACCATAAAATGGCATGACGATAGTGTAAAGCAGTGGTCGGCACGGCCCTATCCCGCGGGCATAGGAAATTTCTCTGCCCGAGCTCTTCCACACACTGACAGTATAAATGTGTGAAACGTCATGCTCACAGCATACTATACCCAGCCAACCAGAGCAGTCCGCGCGGTCCTCCGTTAGGACTCCCTGTGCGGAGCGCAAAGCCTCCTAGGGACGCTCCTAAAAGTGTCCGTAAGAGCGTTTTTGGGAAAAAAGTGCCATTTCAAAATATATGAAAACTGTGTGCCCTGCGGACTCCTAGAATGAGTAATTTCGGAGTCCCAGAATGCTCCCTTAGATAAGCCGCAGGGACTCCGTGCGGACTACTTTCTTTGCTTACAATTATTAAGAAAAGGAGTCCTAAAATCATCCGAAGATAACCTAGGCGAAGTATTTTGGGATTGTGTTTGTGCACCTAAAATGCTCCGTACAGGAGTCCTTCTTTGTGCACCTAAAATACTCCCTAGAGGAGTCCCTACGGTTTCTCAAAATGCTCCCAGCTTATATATTATATTAAATAACATATAATAGGTATTTTATTAAATTGTTTAGTTCATTTTATTTATTATTGAGAATAAAGTTAAAAAAGTTACAAATTTATGGAGAAAGAACTGACAAAATAAATTCAGTATAAGGAATGATAAGTAATTCAATTAGTAATGAACATAACTTCCTCTTCCTAACACAACGCTAGGCACTTGCCTTGGAGTTTTTTTAAGGGATCGATAGTGGGCACTTAACTCGTAAAATTTGTGACGTCGCAATCGTCTACTCTTTAGTACTCCTCATCTGCGCCCGAGCTATCGCTGAAATTTGTCAGTTAACGAAGCTATTATTCTATTCGATTGTTTTTCTACGAGTCTTCGTTTGGACATTTTTTAACAATTAGTGTAAACACAAAACAATGAATAAATTTTAAAAACGCACGCACCACGTTGAAGCGAAAATTTGCACTGACTAACTTGCATAAAAGAAAAAAATGCTAAACGAAACGCACAAAATAATAACGGAAGATTTCACGAGAAACAGATGCAAAATAGAAGAGCAGAAAATAATAGCTCCGAAAACGCTCCGAGACGGTGCGACTTTAGGAGCCCTTTTTATTCTTTGCTTCGGAGGGCTCCGCAAACGCTCCAAAAAGGTGCTACTTTGGGAGTCTCGTTTCGATCCTTCTTCGGTGAGCTCATCAAACGCTCCGAAGAGGTGCTACATTGGGACTCCTTTTTCGCTCCATTTTCGGAGCGATAAACCGACCTTGGGTTTTCAAAACAACTTGAACATTTATAAAAACTCATATGTGTAAAACTAATCTATTTTCCTTTTTTGGGACTTGAAGTCTTTAACACAATGGTTTCAGGGATCCCTTAATGTATCTTGGAGCACTTAAGGGGTCCCCCCCCCATTCTCGATTTCAATGAACTAAATTTGTGTTATTAAAAACAATATCTGTCTCATGCCCACGCCCAAAACTACATTTCACAAAATACACTGGCCAATAAACAAGTTAAATAAGCCAACAGCTTATATCCAGAAAAACCGGCTATCATAAATAGCTCGCAGTTTAGTTTATAATTCGGCTAAATATCAGATGTCCGATCAAACCAATATTTCAGTTTTACTGCAGCAAATGAGGAACCACATAGCTCGGGCGCCCACATTTACAGAAAATCGTGAAACATGGAACGTATATTACCGTTTACAATGACTTTATGATACCCTTGCAGAGGGCATTGTAATTTTGTCCAAAAGTTTGCAACGCAGTGAAGGAGACATCTCCGACCCTATAAAGTATATATATTCTTGATCAGGATCACCTCCTCACCTCACCTCCTCCTCACCTATCATACTTTATTTGGCAATTTATCCCAGCGAATGGGTTTCAAATTTTTTCCAGCTCATAGTACCTCCAGCAATGAAATTTCGATATATTATAATTATATACGGTATTGCTGCATTTGCATGCCATATTTTTGTCGAGTCCTATCTGGTAGAATATTTGATATTCAAAAAGTATCAAGTCAAGCGCGAACAAAGTTGGACTACATCAAAACAAAAATATATGCGTTTGGAGCATGATATAACACAAATGGCCAATTGGCCGCCAATAACTGAAACATATGAACCGATCCAATCGGCAGCATGGGAAGAAGGTCGGCCTAGATATGTAAGTTTGATGGCGGAACAAAACCACGATCTGCATAAAACTTTATTTCCAGGTTCTTTGAATCGTTGCTCAGTTAATTTTAATTAAAAATTTTGTTATCCGCATATATTGCGACTAAAATACGTGTATAATATAAAGTATATTGCATAAAAAAGAGCATTCAACATTTTCAATGCACATAAATTATTCATTCTAGCCAGAAAATAAAATTATTTGTACTTAAGTCATGGTGATATGATGTACAAAATTTTGTTTTTTTTTATTATAAATAAATTTATCAACATAAAAAAATTGTTAGCTTGTGTAAAAAAATACAGGGAATAGTGATGGAACCATAAAATGGCATGACGATAGTGTAAAGCAGTGGTCGGCACGGCCCTATCCCGCGGGCATAGGAAATTTCTCTGCCCGAGCTCTTCCACACACTGACAGTATAAATGTGTGAAACGTCATGCTCACAGCCTACTATACCCAGCCAACCAGCGGAGTCCGCACGGTCCTCCGTTAGGACTCCCTGTGCGGAGCGCAAAGTCTCCTAGGGACGCTCCTAAGTGTCCGTAAGAGCATGTTTTTGGGAGAAAAGTGCCATTTCAAAATCCTAGAATGAGTAATTTCGGAGTCCCAGAATGCTCCCTTAGATAAGCCGCAGGGACTCCGTGCGGACTACTTTCTTTGCTTACAATTATTTAGAAAAGGAGTCCTAAAATCATCCGAAGATAACCTAGGCGGAGTATTTTGGGATTGTGTTTGTGCACCTAAAATGCTCCGTACAGGAGTCCTTCTTTGTGCACCTAAAATACTCCGTAGAGGAGTCCCTACGGTTTCTCAAAATGCTCCCAGCTTATATATTATATTAAATAACATATAATAGGTATTTTATTAAATTGTTTAGTTCATTTTATTTATTATTGAGAATAAAATTAAAAAAGTTACAAATTTATGGAGAAAGAACTGACAAAATAACTTCAGTACAAGGAATGATAAGTAATTCAATTAGTAATGAACATAACTTCCTTTTCCTATCACAACGCTAGGCACTTGCCTTGGAGTTTTTTTAAGGGATCGATAGTCGGCACTTAATTCGTAAAATTTGTGACGTCTCAATCGTCTACTCTTTCGTACTCCTCATCGTCTGCGCCCGAGCTATCGCTGAAATTTGTCAGTTGACAAAGCTATTATTCTATTCGATTGTTTTTCTACGAGTCTTCGTTTGGACATTTTTAACAATTAGTGTAAACACAAAACAATGAATAAATTTTAAAAAGGCACGCACCACGTTGAAGCGAAAATTTGCACTGACTAACTTGCATAAAAGAAGAACATGCTAAACCAAACGCACAAAATAATAACGGAAGATTGCACGAGAAACAGATGCAAAATAGAAGAGCAGAAAATAATAGCTCCGAAAACGCTCCGAGACGGTGCGACTTTAGGAGCCCTTTTTATTCTTTGCTTCGGAGGGGTCCGCAAACGCTCCAAAAAGGTGCTACTTTGGGAGTCTCGTTTCGATCCTTCTTCGGTGAGCTCCGCAAACGCTCCGAAGAGGTGCTACATTGGGACTCCTTTTTCGCTCCATTTTCGGAGCGCTCCGGAAACACACCTTTGCGTTATAAATTTGGGAGTCCGTTAACTCTTCTAGTTCGGAGCGCTCCGCATATGGTTGGCTGGGTATCTGCTATTCGTTACTAATACTAATGCGTTAAAATCATATGAATTCATTGGCTGCCGACCACTGGTGTAAAGTTATTCGAAAAAAATAAGTAAGAAAACTTTTTTTTTAGAAAATAAAGTTGATTTAGGTTGTCTTGGAGAAGTGATGAACTGACCTTGGGTTTTCAAAACAACTACAACATTTATAAAAACTCATATGTGTAAAACTAATATAATTTCCTTTTTTGGGACTTGAAGTCTTTAACACAATGGTTTCAGGGATCCCTTAATGTATCTTGGAGCACTTAAGGGGTCCCCCCCCATTCTCGATTTCAATGAACTAAATTTGTGTTATTAAAAACAATATCTGTCTCATGCCCACGCCCAAAACTACATTTCACAAAATAAACTGGCCAATAAACAAGTTAAATAAGCCATCAGCTTATATCCAGACAAACCGGCTATCATAAATAGCTCGCAGTTTAGTTTATAAGTCGGCTTAATATCAGATGTCTGATCATAACCAATATTTCAGTTTTACTGCAGCAAATGAGGAACCACATAGCTCGGGCGCCCACATTTACAGAAAATCGTGAAACAGGGAACGTATATTACCGTTTTCAATGACTTTATTATACCCTTGCAGAGGGCATTGTAATTTTGTCCAAAAGTATGCAACGCAGTGAAGGAGACATCTCCGACCCTATAAAGTATATATATATATATCAGGATCACCTCCTCACCTGCACTTTACAGAAAGCCTTTATGGTCAAATTTGCCACTGTGCTTGGCATTTATTACTAATCTTGTTATCATACTTTATTTGGCAATTTATCCCAGCGAATGGGTTTCAAATTTTTTCCAGCTCATAGTACCTTCAGCAATGAAATTTCGATATATTATAATTATATACGGTATTGCTGCATTTGCATGCCATATTTTTGTCGAGTCCTATCTGGTAGAATATTTGATATTCAAAAAGTATCAAGTCAAGCGCGAACAAAGTTGGACTACATCAAAACAAAAATATATGCGTTTGGAGCATGATATAACCCAAATGG